GTGGCTTTGTACGGCACTCTGGTTACTACGAGGGTTGATTACTTAATTAACTGCAAAGTAAGAATTTGTTGTCTGTTTCTTGTTTAACGCGGTATTCAGCAATATTCCAGCTATATGGCGGCGTTCTGTAAATAATCGAGTCTGCACCAGACAACCCATATATACGCGTTTGTTTGTGGGTAAAATATGGCGGGCGTTTGATAGCAGATTGGCACAGAATGGAACTTTTTTTCTGATTGGTCGATACCTTCTGTCAATCATAATGCGCGGTCCCATGGATTGGGATACGATGACATGGGTCCCGTTAGTCGCCTCTTACGACAAGTACTAGTTACTGATTGATCTTCGCGGGTATTATGTCTTCTGGAAATCGGCTGGCTGGACCTCGCATCCATTCGTGCGCGATGCTTATCCTCACATTGATCTCCTGGGCAATCCGGCCGTCACTGGATATGATGTCCAGGTTCTAAAGGCAGACGACAGGTGTCGGCAGACGTCAGTTCAGTGCCGTACAAGGAGATGGGTGGGGGGTGTTGTGGTTGGGGATTGTCTTCACAAGGCTGGCGGTGAGTTCAAACATATTTGTGACTTCGGAGTGCTTGTTCCGTACGGCCTGGATGTCGAAGAATGTGCCATCATGGCTGTACCGGATATACACGCCCTATTCAGGGTCCTGGTTGGCTTGTCTGGGGACACACCTGAGTGTGTGAGTTTAGTTTTGCGCCATTTTCAGCAATATTCCAGCCATATTACGGCGGGGAACACCAGAAGAGGTTGAGAACTGTGGCCAAGACACAATCCGACAGCACTCTGTGAATACTCGAAAGGGACCGACTGTTCATTGCCCAAGACGACATGTCCCATAGTTCAGTCTGATGATCTGGATGAACATGCGCGGATAGAGGACCAGAAGGTCAAAGGTCTTACTGAGGTCTTTGAACACGACATACTGATACAGATTATACTCGATGTTAATATATATGAATGTATATACGATTTCGTTTCTTATGTTAAATTCAGTGAGTGAGTGAGTATGGTTTTACGCCGCTTTTAGCTATATTCCAGAAATATTAGCGACGGGGACACCAGAGATGGGCTTCACACATTGTACCCACATGGGGAAAAGAACCCGGGTCTTTGAACACTTATGAAAAAGATAATTCACTAGTGTGTGATAGATATACTAAATATCAACCTCGTCCGAAGGTTTGGCAAACACAAATTAACTAATACCCTGTGTATACTTACATACCTCCAGTTATGAGGCAGTGTTATAGACTGTGCAACAGTCTCACCTGTCATTCATTGTACCTGTAGATTCAGTGAGGGGCAGTGGTGTGCTACATTTTGACTTTTGCTATAATCTTGTAGGCATCTCCAGTGCACATCGATATGGAAATTTCTTGCAACATATTTTTGGCTGACTGACTGACTGAGTTGGGTTTTACGCCGCTTTTAGCAATATTCCAGCAACATCACGGCGGGGGACACCAGAAATGGGCTTCACACATTGTGCCCATGTGGGGATTCGAACCCGGGTCTTCGGCGTGACGAGACAACGCTTTAACCATTAGGCTACCCCCACCGCCCCACATATTTTTGGACTATGAGGGGATCCAGCTATTGCCTCTCACATTACATCTCAAGTTACAAGAAGACCTGCATTGTGTACGATGATCATTTATCATCCAAAACTGTGTTCCACAGGAGATATCGCTTGTGTGAGATCAAACGATATCTCCTAGGAGATATCGTTTTCACAGATTTTGTACAATGCCCTGACAATGCGATGACGTCACGTACTTGATGACGTCACAATGCTATGACATCGCTGCACTGCAAGTCTAATGGCAGTACCATGTCTCGGCAAGCCTCGGATATTTGTAACTTCATCAACTCGTGTTGATATAATTGATGTCAGAAGACACTTGGGTGAGATTCTCTATATACACTATATGCACATCGGCCCGTCGTATTACTGTTGCAGAGAGGTGAATATTATCATCATTGTCTTCGTTGCTATGCATTGCAGTATACTGCATGTATACTGTATTGAATATATACTGCTACTCTACTGCTATTGAATATATACTGCTACTCTACTGCTATTGAATAAATACTGCTACTCTACTGCTATTGAATATATACTGCTACTCTACTGCTATTGAATTTATACTGCTACTCTACTGCTATTGAATTTATACTGCTACTCTACTGCTATTGAATTTACTGCTATTGAATTTATACTGCTACTCTACTGCTATTGAATTTATACTGCTACTCTACTGCTGAATTTATATTGAATTTTATATACTGCTACTCTACTGCTATTGAATTTATACTGCTACTCTACTGCTATTGAATTTATACTGCTCTACTGCTATTATTTATACTGCTACTGCTATTGAATTTATACTGCTACTCTACTGCTATTGAATTTATACTGCTACTCTACTGCTATTGAATTTATACTGCTACTCTACTGCTATTGAATTTATACTGCTACTCTACTGCTATTGAATTTATACTGCTACTATACTGCTATTGAATTTATACTGCTACTCTACTGCTATTGTGATATATTTCTATTGATTTGTAAACTTAGTTAATTTTAGAATACAGTTGTTAATTAGAGAACATTTTTTGTTGTTTCACAGACAGTTCTTTTATTGACTGATTCCTGGTTAACCTTTATGTTTCACCTTGGGAATCAACACATAACAATACAGACCTACCTACATACTAATCTGTTATGTTTCATGCCAACAGGCACATACATTGGTATATTGCAAGCAAACTAATATTTTAGTTTAAGAAACGGACACTTCAGCTTTTCAAGCTGCCTGACCACTTTTTTGTGTCTAAAACAAGTATTTTTTCCAAACATTATCTTCAACAATGTAGTTTTGTTGCAAGTGGGGCCAAACCAGTGACCTTCCACCCTGCAAGCAGACGCTCTATCCACCAAGTGAACGAGTTGAGTTTTATGCCATACTCAGCAATATTCCAGCTATATGGCAGCGGGATGTAAATATTCCAGTCTGGACTAGACAATCCAGTGATCAGCATCATGACCATCGATCTGCGCAATGGGGAACCGGTGACGTGTCAACCAAGCCAGCGAGCCTGACCACCCGATCCCGATAGTCGCCTCTTACGACAAGCATGGGTTACTGAAAATCAATTTTAACCCGGATCTACACGGGTCCTCTATCCACTGCAACACAGCGTTGTAGAGGACCAGCAGCTGTGTATCATCTGTTATTACTACTTCCACAAAACAACAAACAGTGATTCCAAGTTTGATTTATTTCCTTCTTCCATAAAGATTCTGACCAAATGTCCTACACTAAGTGATATAGTCATCAAATATCAAAACAATCCCACAAACAAACATCCGTCTGTTAGATATCCATATACTCAAAATATTCCCAAACATTCATCAATACATCAGCAATGGCTACCCTATATCCTGTGAGCATATTGCATGATATAAAAACATTTTCTGTAAGCACAAGCTCAATACATAGCAGGGGACGTCCCAGTAACTCTCCATATCTTACAAGTGACAGACCTCAGCACTACTAGGAGTGTTAAGAGGATATTCCCCTACTAAAAAATATTTTGTGACTTGGTAAAACGTCTCATGAAACATTTCGTAAATCTTAATTTTTAAATGTCAAAATTGCCGCAAAATCGTATAAATTTATTAGGACTGGCTAAATAAATTGACATCATCGATGGAAAGAATTATTAATGATTATCATTATGACAATTGTGTCATTTATAATATTGATGAAATATTGTTCAAATTTACTCACATAATACACAAAGCTATCTCTATATACTGCTCCTAAATTGTGTTCGGGACGGTTTTTTTAGTAATCAATGAATATGTCTCCACTCACCAATGATGTGAAATATGATTTCTTTCCAATTTTTTGCATCTTTGATCTAAGTTTCTTCTCCGATATTTATCGATAATCTATCGATATCTGGTTCATAATTAAAAATCTCTGTAATCTATAGTAATAACCAGCCCTAATATTCATAACATATTCCAACCCCCTGAACACCCCCTCCCCATACTTCTCAACGTGTACACATCATTTATCAGTGCACTGAAACAACTATTCTCCATTACTACAGCATCTCTCCATTCCTTATACATAACAGAGTGCTGAAACAATAGGATTATATCACGTATGTAATTCCACAAACTTCATGACTTGTAAATAACTTTTTATGTGTACCCATTAACACATCAATACTTATTGGTACCTATTGGTACCTTCAGTAACAACTCAACAACACTGAAGCAAATATATTTTCAAATATAAGAAGTACTGGATTTCCCAAGCATACATCCGGAAACATAAAGAAACCAGGATTCTCAAGAAGAGGTGTGTATAATACTCTGTTTTGTAGGTGTCCAATTGGCTGAAGAAAATCATAAAATGTATGTTTGTGTATAGTCCCACATAACTTTTAAAGAAGTACTTAAAATACTTCTTTGAGTGGCATTTTAGAAGTTCGGAAGTACAATATAGAACAAACTTTATGGATAACAACTTCTTTTTATTCGTGACTGCCACAATATTTGTAAAAAATATTGGTGCAAAACCTCTGTCACGTTGTTCAAAATTGTCTGTGGGACTGGTGTATTTTTCTGGAGTAGTGGCCTGACAAGCAAGCACATTACATCTGTATAACCCTTGAGACAAGTTGACATAAGGCACTGTGGAATGGTCTGGAATATACATGTTGAATACGTACATCATAAACATGGTTACATTATCTGGCATGGCATAACCCTCAAGACATGGTTGGCATGACGATGAGACGGGGTGTTCCGGGACAGCGCGTGGGTGGGTGGTTAGAGACAGTGTTAAGATGGGGGAGGTAGGAATTAGGGTGAGGGTGGGTGGTTAGAGACAGTGTTAAGATGGGGGAGGTAGGAATTAGGGTGAGGGTGGGTGGTTAGAGACAGTGTTAAGATGGGGGAGGTAGGAATTAGGGTGAGGGTGGGTGGTTAGAGACAGTGTTAAGATGGGGGAGGTAGGAATTAGGGTGAGGGTGGGTGGTTAGAGACAGTGTTAAGATGGGGGAGGTAGGAATTAGGGTGAGGGTGGTTGGTCAGAGACTAGTCAATAATGCTGAGAAGTCTTGGCAAGGCAAGCTTCAAAAATACCCTTGGCATATACTATAACATTATACATTATATTTGTCAAATCAGTACAACATTGACTCAGACATCAGAGCCAAGTAAAATATCTGTCAGCGCTAACAATAAAGCACCCCAGAGCTGAAACAGGACCTCCATACATCCAGACAGTGACCTCACTTGTCATACTACGTAGTAGGATAGCTTCCTGATAACACAACAACACAATATATCAAGTAACCCTTCATTAAATGTGAAGTTTTTGCTGGGGAAAGTATAAACATTAGGAGAAAGCCCAGGGTCGGATACAGCTTTTTGAGAAAGGGGGATGCACACTCTAGAGAAGGGGGTGCACACTTCATTTTCACGAGAGTTTCAGTGGTCATGTAATAAACTTTCAGGAAAAAAGGGGGGGGGGGGTGCACACCCCTGCACCCCACCTCTGTCTATCATTACCAAGAAACCACCTGCAACTTGAACCATCTGTATGATAATGTGTTCGGCTGTGTACTGGTTAAATACATTTCGAGAACAAGACAATGGAGATGTTTTGAGCAAATAGGACACTGTGTTGGGGCAGGAATTCAATAACCCGACTCTGCATCTAACTTCAAGACTTTAATTATCAACATAATTTTAAAATCTTCTATGAAAAGTGGCTCATGCTTTACAATGTAGTGACCTCTGGTTGAGTCTGAAAATGTGGTTTTACGTAAGTATACGTGTCATAAGAAAAACAGTGTATTTTAGAGAAATGGAGCCTATCCACTGGCGACAGGTTCCTGTTCTCATCTGTTCACATCTATTCATGTCTATTCACATCTGTCAGGGTGAACCCATGCATCTAGTGTCTGTCCGACCTTGGCCTTGAGCTCTTCTGTGGCATCAGACAGCTGCTTCACAACATCCTGCAACATGAAGGAGTAGGTCAGTGAATGTGGGAGGTTAACTTTGTATATATATAGCACAATAAGCAGTATCCAATTATAGCACAGTAAGCAGTCTCAAAATGTGAACACTGCAAACTCAAAATAATCCATTCTAGACCCACCAACTGCTATTCTGAAACAACAATGTCCAATCAACTAAGGGACTGTTCATAATTTATGACTAGTGGGGTAATGACGACTTTTATTGAAAATCATGTACAGTGTGAATGTCCCCACCCTAAGATTTATGTACTAAATCAATTATCCCCTTCCCAAACTTTTTTTGGCATATCTTTTAAATACTTACCGGGTATATGTACAAAATTGCTGACCCCCTGGAACATGTATACAAACTTTATGACATATTTATGCATGGATAACTATCAAAACAGCATACTGAACCTACTGAGCAACACAAGAATAATAACTCACTTTGTGCATTGTGATATTAAAGGCAAAATGTCACACATTTTCGACAATATTTTAGCCTATATTTTATTGGGGGCACAAGCATACACTTTAGCTTAATTTTCATGCAATAAAAACAACTGGTCTGAAATCGATAATTGAAACTTCGAGTCAAACAGCTTCCAAACAGATAACACTTGCCATATATGGAATGTAAACAATTGCTCCGTACAATGAAAACTGTCTGTGTTTGCCGAACTGGTTTCAATAACATGTTGTGCGTAGGATATTCATAAAGGGCGTTTGAAGGTACATAACTCTATGAGGCTTGAAATAATGTTCGGCTGGTAGAGGGCGCAAGAATTAATTTAATACAACGATGCATTAATTCATTTGAACGTTTAAATTTAAACTTTTAATCTAAATGTGTCATTTTGGGGGGAATAATTCTATGGTAGCTTCAATGAGGGCTGATAGTATTATTGAGAGAAATACATTATGTATTTTTTAAGAAGTATGGCGTGGCATTGTGCCTGAAGCTAAAACTCTTTTTCATCATAAAAGCTTATTATTGATGCTACAATTTTCATATCGATATTGTTGGATAACTCTTCCCTTTGATGAGATATTCAGTTATGACCCAGATGGTGAAACATAGCCATTGTCATATATATCACATAGGCACATCTACACATATCACCTTGGCCTAGCAACAACTGTTTCTGTATTTCGTCATCTCTGACATCATTAAACAATGACGTCAATGAAGAGGGCTGTAACACTAGCTTAACATGTTTTACTCAACAAATGTACCTGGATAGAGTGGATAATAAAGAGATTATTACACTCGAGCATGTGTGTCATATGACTTTACACGAAACTTGTGCAAAATTATGTATTGCCCTCGCTCTCGCATTCACACTTGTTTCGTATAAGTCATATGACACTCTTGCTCGTGTAATAATCTCTATTTATCAATCTAATAATATTCCTAAAAGAGGCCTAAATCCATACTGACTCACTCCCTAAAACAAGTGTCTCTGTTGTTTAATGCCAGTCAGCACTAGTTCAGTTAATGGTATATGACAGTGGGATATAAATACCTAGGTCTGGACCAGACTAACGGAATCGGGTGGTCAGACTCGCTGGCTTGGTTTCACATGTCATCGGTTCCCAATTAAGCAGGTCGATGGTCATGCTGTTGATCACTAGATTGTCTGGTCCAGACTCGATTATTTACAGACCCTCGCCATATAGCTGGAATATTGCTGAGAGCGGCATACAGCTAAACTCATTCACTCACTCACTCATCAAACACGTCATATAGACTAACCACCAATCGATTTAAGTCACCTCTTATGATCAGTATAGGTTGCTGGGAACATACTCTAACCTTGAGTGAGTGAGTATGGTTTTACGCTGCTTTTAGCAATATTCCACTGGGAACACCAGAAATGGCCTTCACACATTGCACCGATGTGAGGAATCGAACCAAGGTCTTCAGTGAGACGATCAAACACTTTAACCACTACCCCTCTTGTCAGTGAATGAGTGAGTGAGTGAGTGGAAGGGTCGGTGTAGCAGAGCAGAGTGGAGCGAAAGAACAGGTAGAAGGGCAACAGATGGAGGAATTCAGCTAAAATCCTTATGATACCGATTTCATTTACAGGGGTTCAAAATTATTTTAAAAAGCCACTTGCCACAGGGCAAGTGACTTTAAGAAAGTAACTTGTCCTGACAAATTTTCCACTTGACCTGATTTTATGACATAATCATGATGATGTAATTATGAAAGAATAAATCAACAAGGTATTTTTATGTTAATGTTTACTGGACTATTTATTGAAAAGTGATAAATAGCAAAGAAAGATAACTCTACTTTATCATCATTGCGAAATTTAAAAGCTACATTTTGAGCAGATATGAAATTAAATCCAAGTTTATTTGCAGTTTGAAACCATAGGTGGAAATTATCTAGTAGCCCACGGACAAGTAAGATACCATAATTTGATTGCCCGAAATGAAAACTGACTTGTCCCGCGCCAGGTGACGGATTTTTAACCCTGATTTACTCTTAAATATTCCCAGCGGGCAACACTAGCGTTGAATCAACGTTGAATCAACGTTGAATTGTGGTTGTTTGGTTGATCAACCTTTCATAAGCGTTGATTCAGCGTTTATCATCAAAGAAAGTTAGTGAGATTCGTTTAGTTGTCAATGTTGTTTCAACGTGAAGGAACCAACAAAATGTCAACTAATTGTTTCCTTGGCAAATTTGATACATAATTCATATTGGTAATAGGTATCCAACTTAGCAACTATCATTTGAACATTAATTTCATAAAAGATCAAGATCGAGCTAGTGACACATATAATCTTATATATTGTTTGATTGTGCATCGATCAACGGACGGAAATATTAAGATTTTAGGTATAAAGTCATCAGTTATCCGAATTGCATTACATTAGATATTTTCCCACAAAACTGTCAAAATTGTATAATTCCCGACAATTTGCTTTCAAACACTTGCCAGATCGCCTCGTTTGGCCATATCGGTTTATCGCACAATTATCGCTAGCATAAAAGGCAGCTGATGCGTCGTCCAGTTTACTTTGGCGAGAAATTTTCACTTAATATCGTTCTCTATTTTCAACATCTTCACGGCATGCTGGTGTTTATTTGGTAAGTATGTCCTTCATGTATAATGAAAACGTAGGAATGTTGTTTAAATCTAGCAGGTCAATGTAGCAAGAAACTCGAATTAGGGGCTCATGTTTTATCTCACAAGGGTACCGGTATGTCACATACATGTTTCTCAAAATTTAGTGGAAGCCCGTGTTTTCCATAAACTTGTTTTGTTATTTTTCAATATATTTGCATGCATATATTTGGCATTTTATTATATAATCGAATAAGATTTCCTTTCATTACCCATCACCTGATTTGAATTTTGCAAATATACATTTCCAAATAATCAATGAAGTACATCAATATAAGGGACCATTCATAATTATATGGCTGCGGGTGGGGTTGATGATTGTAAGGGGTGGGTGGGTGTCACCCATTTTGTTCAGGGAGCTAAGGGGGTCATGCAGCGAAAATTCACATCAAAATGTCTTGTGCAAGTCTTTGTTAAGGATGAAATTGCATATAATTTATTTGAACTTTTATTTATTTACAAAATGTGTAACTTCACTAATGATTCTTTGATGGGACAATTAACAAACTGCACTCACAGACTTTCATTCTTACACTTGTTTGGAAGGGATGTGATGATTCATGTCTCTTAAAGGTTAAAATGTTACATACAAAAGAAGTAATTTAGTAAGGAACATTTAATTATGAAATATGATATAATTTTAATTGAATTTGCAGAAATCTCATCTTGAAGACTGGGTGGCATCAATTTTGTGGATCACATAAAAGGAGCAATGCTAAGGTAACAAGTTTTAACATTTCACTTGTTTCCAGTATATCCACCACAAAGGTTGATCATGTAAGAGAATAATTTGACAATGATTTCTCGAGGAGATGTTTAGTTTAATGAGCACTCCTTGCTTGGCAAAGCCACATTGTTTTCCTCACATTACAGAGCACGAGAGAGGACAGAAGTCATAAATGTATAGAGATATATAGATGTTTATTGCTGGGAGACACACTCTTCAGGTATTTGGTCAGCTGTAGAATTTGAATATGATGTTTCTTTATTATTGTCAAAGTGTAGGTTTTCATTATTTTGCATGTAAGTTTGTGTGCAGTGAAACATACTGAGATTTGGAAGAGTCCATTATTTAGTGTACAGGTATTGTTAGATATCAGCATTTTATGTACATGTTCACTTGTCAAGATCATCTATCGAGTATATTAGAGAGAAGGTGTATATTTGTAGTGTTTTAAATCAGAGTTATTTTCAGTGTATGACCTACATTTCAATATGTTTGGCCACCTGTCACCCCTTTGGTCAAATAGAGTAGGACTTCCATTTCTTGGAATTGAGAGTCAGAGATGCACTGTTTCCAAGAATTTCATGTGTGCCAGCGATGTTTGTTCATTTAGTACATTTAAGTCTTTTTGAGTGTAGATTGAGTTGTAAGAGATGTTATTCAGTGTCTTATTATTCAGGGTATGATAGATTATTTCTGGCAGTGTAGAGTTTAATCTCATTATTTTATTGTTCATGATTCAGAGAAGCATAGTTATGGCGTCGCAGATATTATAGGCACAGATAATTCATTATATGAGAGATTTTCTAAGCGTTCCTATAAGAGATTAAGTGTAAACATTTCTGAATTATGAAGAAGTTATTTATCTGAGTTTTATGAGTGTACAAATGACAAAGAGAGACAGAGTAGATAATAGGGAATATATTGTATACTTATGAGAGCTCATTATTGTTTTCAGAACTACATGATCCATACTTCCTTGTGTTTGGGAATAAATGGTGTTGGAAGACCTCCACAATAGACTTGTTCTTTGACCTGTGAACCACCACCCATTTTGTTTTCTTATCATATAATGTAAAAATGGCTTTTGTTACAATTTATGACTCCTGTTAGCAAAATTGCTACATCAGTACAACTCCTATTTAATTTGAAATAATCGATTCCGAATCTCTAAAGAAAACTAAATCTGACAGAATAACAACAATCTTCCATTGTTTTGCAGGACAATGTCAAACAATTTGATGTCAAGAATGAATGTTGATGGGCAAAGCGGCAAGTTTTCTTCTCTGGTAATTTCATTACCAAATGCAGCATTTTCATCATGACCATAGCAAATAATATATGACAGTAAAGCATTGTCTAATTCATCCTAATTCATAGTCTAATGGAATAATCAACTTGCAATTGAGGATTTTCTTTGAAAATGTTTCAGAAAACTTCCATTCCTTTAGTTGAAAATATAAGTTGTTTACATTTTTCGTCACATTTTGTATTGATGCTGTTCATCGTTCACATGGCAAGTTACAGCAGTGAAATGAACCTTTCAAGTGATTGATTAAACAAATACTTGAATCATTTAAGACAATATATCTTCCATATAAAATTCTTCATGTATATAGATATATAATTTCGAATGTGTCCTATCTCATGGGAATGAGATGGGAATGCATCGAAACAAATTTCAAGAAAGAGTTAGGAGCGTTTCTGAAGTATCCACCTGACCGCCAGGCAGGGAGTGCAGAAAGAGAAGCTGTATGTCAGTTTAATGCTATATGCAGATGATATTGTGTTATTAGCACAACAGAGATCACCTACAGACTATGTCATGTGTGATGTTTTACATTATGCCTTAAACCCGTTTTTTTCTCTGTGCGTTTGTGTTCATAAAGATTTCATAAAAGTGACTGGTTTTATGTGTGCTGTCTTCAGGTATAGTTAGTTTGTTCATCTTGGATTCCTTTCATGGTGAAAGTAATTGCATTGTGTTTATTCAGGGGTCTGTCTAATAGCTGAAATTCAGACAAAATGTCTTCTCAGGGCAATTTCCACCTTTTCAAGATAACAATACAACAGTAAATAGTTTTTCTTAATTTGGAATACTCTTTTTCTTCTTAGGGGTGGGGTAGCCTAATGGTTAAAAGCGTTGGCTCGTCACGCTGAAGACCCTCGGGTTGAATCCCACATGGGCACAATGTGTGAAGCCCATTTCTGGTGTCCCCCGCCATTGATATTGCTGGAATATTGCTAAAAGCGGCATACAACCAAACTGTGCTACTTTAGTGTAGTTTAAAGATGAAGTGCAAGTCTATTTACAGGAAAGCGTAATACCTCCCAGACACAACCACGGAACAACCCATTTTCAGCGGTAATAATTTGTCAAAGTGAGTTAATAATATGAGTTGAGTCGAAAACTTTCATATGAACGTTGATAATAGAGAGAGAGATTTAACACAACTTTCAGCAATTGATAATCAAACCCGGATATACAGCAAGACACGTGAAACAAATTTAAGTAAATTTTCACATTTGGACTGTCAATATGAACTGTTTGTCTGCTGACATGAACTGTTTGTCATAGATCGATGCTCATGCTGTTGATCACTGGATTGTCTGGTTCAGATTCGATTATGTACAGACCGTCGCCATATTGCTGTGTGGCATTAACCAACCAACCAACCTTTTCAAGTTAAAGGAATTGTTTGTTTCTATCAAAATGCTAAATATTCACAGACCAAGTGTTAGTCTAGTGTTAACATGAGCAATGCTTACATCTGACAGCTTGACGATGTTGCTGTTCTCGACTACCTGCTGCGGGGTGCTGGCTCCGACTATGGCGACAGGAACGTTATCCTGCTGCAACAGCCATGACAGGGCTGCCTTTGCCATCGGTACACCAGCCTTGTCACATATCCCCCGGATTCGCTGGATTGCCTGGAGACAGAAACAGCAAAGTGAAAATTCAATCATGACGGCTCAACACTGTCACGATGGTTTGATTACTATTTACAAAGGCAAACTCATGGTGGTTCAATTACAATGGTTCTTTAATGATGGCCAATGGCTGGGTCATATTAGCTACTAGTTAAAAAATATGACACCAATCTGTCAACAATCCAGTAGACAATCCAGTGATCATCATCATCGTCGTCGTCGTTGTCGTCATCATCGTCATCATCATCAACATCAACATCAGGAACTGTACCTCAAACACCTCTTTTTCTGCCCCATCTTGACCATGACGACTCAGCTGAGTGCTGCAAAAGTGAGTGATACATGAAAAGATTAATGTATATTTCTTGACGCCACATCAACAATTTGGCTGCGTTTCAGTTAATAGCAATGTGAAGGACGGGGGTCATACATTAATGATGCTGTAGACAGAGTGCTAAAGACTAAAGGAGACCATCAACATACAACCAAAGGCAGGAGGACCCGAAGAATCATGTGACTTTAAATATGTCACAAAAGAATACAATTTCTTGTTGATTCGCTCAGCAGTATTTGGGGACATTTATTTATTCTTTGGGACATATTTATTTATTCCTCTGATTCTGCAGACTAAATACTGTATTATAGATAAGCCGACCCCCTAACTTGATCCTTAAAATCAGTATCAAAATGGTATGTTTCGTACATAAGCTGACCCCTTGCGATGGGGTCCTAATTGCGGACAACTCAAACCACGGACAACTGGCAGTTACCGATAATTATAACTTCGGTCTGCATTATTAACAGAATTCACAGTCATACTGCATCTACTCACGCCTTGAAATGATGTGTAGTTGACAGAATATGGATGATATATTTTCTTCTGCTACATATATTTATTGCAGCTGGACGATCACATGTCAACAAACTGGTAAGTTTTAAAACTAATAATTTTTCATTTTCTTATGAACTGCACACACAACAGGTTTACAGCATAAGATAAAACACACCAAAAACTTAACTTCAGTAACACATTGAACATACAAGTATTTAACATCCAGGATAAAATAATCCAGGGATTCATCCAGTATTCAAAACTAGTCAGTGAGTTTAGATTGATGCCGCTTTTAGCAATATTCCAGCAATATCACGGCGGGGGACACCAGAAATGGGCTTCACACATTGTACCCATGTGGGGAATCGAACCCAGGCCTTTGGCGTTATGAGCAAACGCTTAACCACTAGGCTACCCCACCGCCCTATTCAAGACTAAGTGCCCTCGGCAGGGAAGCTGGTGGAAAACTTTTGATCAAAACTGTTACTTTTTAAAGTTCTAATTTTCAGTAATGTTGAGGCATATTAACATTGCCTTCAGTCAATACTGTAAAATTATTCACAAACACCACTACACCTCTTTATTTTTCCCAGAATCTGTGACATACACATCATTTTTGAAAGTTATCACATTAGTTATCACATTTAAAATGAAAGTTTAAACATGCACATGTTATCAAATTCTTGTAATGTTTGGTCTGATTTGCTGTTGACTCTGAACAAGTCTTGATAAATCTGTATAGTCTGAAATATACTGAAATATCACATCACAGAATCTTATAACATGTAAACTTTATAAACAAAGAGATAGATGTAGGTTCAGGGGCAGACAACTCTAACTGACCTGTCACGAGAGAAGAGTTTTCCTCTCCTTCTTCCCTCAGGGACGTCGTCGACGGTGGAGTACTTGCCCGTCAGCAGTCCCTGTTGCAGCGGCGAGTACGCCAGAACGCTCACGTTGTTCTCCTTGCACACTGGCAGCACTCCATACTCCGCCGACCTCCACAGTAAGTTGTACCCCATCTGTTACGACCATTAATAATGATAACACACACTGGCAGCACTCCATACTCCGCTGACCTGCACAGTAAGTTATACCCCATCTGTTATGACCATTACTAATGATAATAACGTTAATAATAGGCACAGGCATGCTCTTAGCGCATACAACATAACGGACATTCTTACCCCTGATAACCCAAGCTGAGGTGCTAGAAGCTTACTTAAGTCATATGACATCCCACCAGGTACCCATTGCCTAAGATGAGACTATGTGTGCTTGGTTGTAGTGCAGGACAGAAGTCCTTGAGTGAGTGAGTGAGTGAGTGAGTGAGTGAGTGAGTGAGTGAGTGAGTGAGTGAGTGAGTGAGTGAGTGAGTGAGTGAGTGAGTGAGTGAGTGAGTGAGTGAGTGAGTGAGTGAGTGAGTGAGTGAGTGAGTGAGTGAGTGAGTGAGTGAGTATAGTTTTACGCTGCTTTGAGCAATATTCCAGCAATACCACAGTAAGGGGACACCAGAAATGAGCTTCACACACGTGGGGAATTGAACCCGGGTCTTCGGCATGACGAGTGAACGCTTTAACCACTAGACTACCTCACCGCCCCCAGAAGTCCTTGAAAGGAGTCAAGCTGCCAAACACAGTCGGTCATCCATCAGGGCTTAATGTCGGCAGAGGATTCAGTTTTCAATACTGCTTGCTTACTGTGCTGCCGTTATGATTTACTTAGTGAGATTTTAACTAGTTAAAATGAGTTTTAGAGTTATGCAAGAGTTGTCTCCCGTAGACCGCTGTCTCGCGTTTCCTGTTTGTAAAAAGGCATTTTTAATTATCTCCTCTGTTTGTAGGGGACGCTGTATGTAGCTATTCATGTTGACGCTGATTATGCACGCAATTTGTGAGATTAACAGATGCAAACAGATGCATCATCTAATGGAGCAGGTAGTAACTTGGGGGCGCGGTGGGCGAGCTGGCTAAGGCGTCAGGCTACTGATCCAGCGAGGTTGAGGTGCTGGGATCGAGCCCACCTGTGACCGGGTGTAAATACCTTGGAGTCAACTTTGTGTGCAGACTCTTTCAGTGTTGTCACAACCCCTAGTGTACAGTACACAATCCTGTGCACTTAAAAGAACCCACGAATCCGTTGGTATATGTCCAGATGGTGGCCACATGAATACGTGCAAACACCTAGTTGCGGGTACAGCAACGTGCAGTAACCTTGGACAAAGCGCTGTGACTATGTGTGTCCCAGTCCACCCAGCTGTGAATGGGTACCGCGTTAGGATGAGAAAGCCACAATAACTCGGTGCGCCTAGTGGCAGCAAGAGTTGTATACTCCCCAGGGAGTTGAGATGGCTAATACGATGTGCAGTTGATATTGACATCCAATGATCGTGGGAAAAAGTACCAGCGCCTTGAGCATGCACTAGTGCGTGGATATGTGCGCTATATAAATATCCTATAATAATAATAATAACTTCAATGGTGACTTTTTCTATGTGAATGAATTGGCACTGTGGTATGCCTCAAGTTGAACAAATGCATATTAATGTTAAACAGTGCCTTGCAATTGTGCCTGCGCATCCCGCTGGTGCTGTGCATAGACAAACAAAAAGGTCATAATAAAAACTGACAATTTTCTTATTTCTCATTAGAAGCTCATTATGTTCAAGGTGTTGATAACCAGATAACAGATGCTACTTTCAGATTACATGAACAGGGTAACTTGTCACGTCTCTTTCAGTATGTGCCCAGCCTGAGTTTAATCAATTTTTCTGTGGAGAACCTTAGTAATCACATGTTCTGTAACTTTTTGAATTCCAGATGGTGGCGTTATCAGGCAGTTGAAGGAGGGTGTACAACGGCTTAAATCTCACGCTTGGGCAGAGTCTACTAGGACCACATACCTTAGTCACTTTAAGTGTTTGTTGAAGTATTGTGATACAGTTGGTATTGATTCTGTACCCATGAGTGAGGAGGCTATTATGTGTTACATTGTTTTTCTAGTTGATGTAAATAAGTCCAAATATTCTACTGCAATATTCGTAAGGAAAACAATTTTCCTGACCCTTTAAAAGATACCTGGTATATATCTCAGTAACTTGTAGGTGTAAGGAGGGAACTTGGTGTTTCTCAGCAGGCAGCACCAAGTGTTACACCCCAACATCTCCATATCATCAAGCAAAATGTAAATGAGATGCATTTTGGAGCATCAGTGTGGGCAGCATGTCTTATTGGTTTTATTTGCATGCTTAGGGACCGTTCATAATTTATGGCTAGGGGGGGTGATGATTATTTTAAGGTGGGGTCACCCATTTTGTTCTGGAGAGGTGGGGGGCACCCATTTTGTACACATGTACTAGGGGGGTTCACCAATTTACACAAAAATAAGAAAAATATGATTATAAATTACGGGAAGGGCGGGGTCACATATTTTGTACAGTGTGTGTGTATGTGTCTCTCTCTCTGTGTCTGTGTATCTCTCTCTCTCTCTGTGTGTGTGTGTGTGTGTGTGCGTGCGTGCGCGTGCGTGTGTGTGTCTCCCATTCACATTGCACATGCTTTTCCATGAAAATCATCATCACCCCCTAGCCATAAATTATAAACGGTTCCTTAGATCAGGGAATGTCTTAGCTATACAAGGCCAGGATTTGGCTAGGGTTCTGACCTTGGGCCGATTGAACAGTTTGGTACATACTACCTTATTGCTTTGAATTGGACAAAAACTCTCCAGTTTAGGGAAAAGATTGTTTATGTTTACTAGCTGGCCATCTGTGACCATCCTCTCAATCCAGTGTCGGCCATCGACAATGTTCTTAAATTTCATACCCATCATGACATGTCACATCCCCTGTTGTGTGACAATAGCTGTCAGGTATTAACCTATCACAAGTTCTTAGATGTTGATAATTACATCTTGCAGCAAGATGGTATCTCTGTTCGCCTTACTGGGCACTCTTATAGACGAGGTGGCGCTTGTTGGGCCTTTGATGTAGGTTTACCTGGCGAGGTAATTCACGATCTTGGTTTTTGGAGAAGCAATGCTTATTTGAGCTATTTGGACATTTCTAGTAAACAAAAGCTAGAAGCTATGCAATTGTTTGGGGAGGCCCTGTAAAATACATCATAATGATTATGATATCAATTACTTGTCTACTGTCTAGGAATTATCATCTCCCATATTTTTGTATATTATTGTTCAGGCAAACCTTTGACCCAGTTTATACTTTTTGTTAATGTTCAAACAATTTACAGTCATTACGTCTAAACCTCTTGGGCTGGGGGAAATAATATATTTCTTGATGTTAGCCAGTGCATGATGGCACTATCATAATTGTGCTAAGTAAAAATGCAATTTGCCTTCAGACCAGGGTTTTTAAATGTACTTCCAGTTATTTTTTTCTTCTGTTTTCTTGTATAAGTTTGTCTAAAGTGAGATTTTAACTTTAGCTAAAATGAGTTTTAGAGTTATGCAAGAGTTGTCTCCCCTAGACCGTTTCTTGTTTGTAAAAAGGCATTTTGAATTATCTGCCCTGTTTGTAGTGGACTCTGTACATAGCTGCACGCAGTTTATGAGATTACCCAGCCTCCCTCCCAGTTGTATTATTTGTTTGTGGCAGATGAATTTTTTTTCGCAATTGTGCTTACATATTGGACGTTTGTGTATATGCAATGTTTTGTGGGAGGGGGAATTAATATATTTCTTGATGTAAGCCAATGCATGATGGCACTATCATAATTGTGCCATGCAAAATTCAATTTTCCTTTAGCCCAAGGTTGTTAAATAAACTTCCAGTTATTTTACTTTTGTTGTTTTCTTGTATACGTTAGTCTATAACATCCTCTGTCTCTCCTGAAGCCGACACCAGAGAATACATCAAAATATGAATTATCATTCTTGAGAACATAAGTTCTTATTGTGGAATTAATGACATGGATTGACAGTTATGATCTTAAAAATACACAATGACATTTTACGTGACTGTTTCATAAAGTGACTCCTTCATAGGATAGCAATTTTGTTCCAAATATGAGTGAAAGATAGAGTTTGGGTTTTACGCCGCTTTTAGCAATATTCCACCATTATCACAGTGGGGAACACCAGAAATGGACTTCACACATTGCATCCATGTGGTGAATTGAACCCAGGTCTTTGGCATGACGAGCTAACGCTTTAACCACAAGGCTACCCCGCTGCCCCCACCCAGCAATGACATGGTACCACTTAGAATGGGATGATTCCCTCCCAGTTGAATCTGGGGGAACTGTATACTCCCCAGGCAGTTGAGGATAAAATTGAAGTTGCCGAGGACCATGCTGGGATTCGATTTGGACCTTCTGATGTGAAGTTGGACACTTTGTCCACATGACCAAAGAGGTTAACCACATCAGCAAACTGGCAAGGTAAGGATTTCACCTGTGGGATGACTCCAGGCCCTGCTACATACCACCCTATCAACAGAAGGCACATCCCCAGCCTCAACGGAGGCTACTGAGACATATTTCGCTCAAATTTGTTATGAACGTGCTCAGCCCTATGTTGGGCACTAATGAAGCAGCCATAAAATACAAGTCCCGTTCTGGGATTTGAACCATGGACCTTCTGATCCAAGTCGGAAGTAACCCCATCTGACAAAGTAAGCATGTCATCTGAGGGATGTGAGCAGTGAGCATTCTATTGGTACATGGAATCTATAATTATCATTTAATTAATCTAGTGATCAACAGCATAAGCATCGGTCTATGCAATTTGGATACGATGACATGTGTCAACCAAGTCAGTGAGCCTGACCGCCCGATCCTGTTCGTTGCCTCTTATGACAAGCATGGGTTGCTGAAAACCAATGCTAACCCGGATCTTCATGGGTCTATTGAACATTTACTGTCTCTAGTACACACATTTCCAAAGTACTGACGAGAAACATGACTCAGACCTGGTTTGATATGGGCTTTCCTCCAGCTTCAATGAATTGTTTCATGTTTTTCGGACCGAAGTTAGAAACAGCGTAATGCTTGAGCCTTCCTAGGGAGATCTGCCGGTTGAGTTCGGTGACTGTCTCATCATAATCCTTGATGAAAGCTGGGAAATGAATCTGGAAGAGAAAAAATTCTTCATTGAGGAACACATCTCGTTCTAAGCCAGAATTGACATAAATGTTAGTTAATGTATTTTAGTTGTGTAGAAACCATATAATGATCCATTGCCTCCTGAGCTGTGACAATCAGACAACTGGAGCTGTGACATCAATCACTCTTGAAACCTAACGACTATACTGCAATGTGACATGCAGAGATGCTGTGCAAGTTGTGCATATAAACCTGTTGAGTATTGACAGGTTTTTTTTTTAAAGAACATGTTGGTGAATATCGGTAAGATGTTTAAAAGAAATACATCTCTCTGCCAATCTGGTGGATTTATGCTAAATGCTGTACACAGGATGGACGGTTTCCGGACTTCTTCAACACATGAACTGAGTGAGTGAGTGAGTTTAGTTTCATGCCACACTCAGCAATATTCCAGCTATATGGAATATCTGAGAGTCTCAGAGTGAGGCGGGGCGGTGGGGTAGCCTTGTGGTTAAGGCGTTCGCTTGTCACGCTGAAGACCTGGGTTTGATTCCCCAGATGGGCACAATGTGTGAAGCTCATTTCTGGTGTGCCTCACCGTGATATTGCTGGAATATTGCTAAAAGCAGCGTAAAACTACACTAACTCACTCACTCAGAGTCAGGCACCTTATCACCAGCACAATGTCAGCAATAACCCCACGTGTCAAATTAACAGACGCTTATACGCTAAATGCATTTAAAAATTCATAATGGTGTTAAATTTTTTAACAAAGGTTGACTTTTTTAGCGTCCTGTGTCTTTGTTGATTTAAATCAGAAAACATATGGTCGTATAAACCATCGTCAATCATACTTAGTTTGGAGCTATGAAAATGGTCATATAAAGACATTGTCACAATCAGTTTGGAGTTACTCCCCTTTATTTATTGATGACAATTAACGAAGGATTCCGAATATAGAATCCATGGATCTTATAAGTGTCATAAGAAGTATATTGATAGGCACAGCCTACTTGATGGATGCATATTGCAAGGCAAATTGACATAGCTGATACTCAGCTGTCAAATGGGTTTGAAAACAGTGAGTATGGTTTTACGCTGCTTTTAGCAACATTCCAGCAATATCACGGCAGGGGACACTAGAAATGGGCTTCACACATTGTGCCCATGTGGGGATTCGAACCTGGGTCTTCGGCGTGACGAGCAGACGCTTTAACCACCAGGCTACCCCACCGCCCCACACAACTTAGAGCACTCAGTAATTATCAAATGGGTTTGCCCATAGCATGTAATAGAACTCTAATTGTCAACTATTGCAATATTATTGTAATAGTGGCAAAACTTTATGGTCTGATTTATATTAATCAATGTAACAGAAATGAAAGTCTTGCTGACACTCTCAAGTGTCCACCATTTTCCTCCACTCAAACTGGGGCGGTGGGGTAGCCTAGTGGTTAAAGCGTTGGCTCGTCACGCTGAAGACCCGGGTTCGAATCCCCACATGGGTACAAATATGTGATTGGTTTCATGTTTACTTCTAAAAATCTCAACCACAAAGATGTTCCTGTGTCTGGACTTTCCTTCTGAATCCCCACATGGGTACAATGTGTGAAGCCCATTTCTGGTGTCCCCCGCCGTGATAGTGCTGGAATATTGCTAAAAGCGACGTAAAACCAAACTCAGTCAGTTAGTCCTTCTGAACCCCCCACATGGGTACAATGTGTGAAGCCCATTTCTGGTGTTCCCCGCCGTGATGTTGCTGGAATATTGCTAAAAGCGGCGTAAAACCAAACTCAGTCAGTCAGTCAGTCCACTCAAACTAAAGGGAGGTAACTCATTTATGAAGTTTTCCAACTCTTGTTAACGAAAACACAGGTGGGTCTAAAATGCACGGGATTTATGTTTTATTTATAACAATATGCTGAACCTATTGAATGTTATGTCGGCAGCTTTAATTGATTTTCCTGAAGTAGGGCAAACAATCGTAACACATTGGTAGTGTGACATAATGACATACACTAATAACAATCATGATATTCAGTATTTATCATACAATGGACATCATTCTCGGCAGGATAAAGCCAACAGAGGGTTTTCGGTATCCGTTGGGGTCCTATACAGATATCGATGCAAATTAGACAGGTCATATGCAAATTTTAGGGACTACTTTCACAGCGTAAACATGGTGTCACACCTATCTAACCGCGATCATGTTCAGTTTGACGTTAACATGTAACATATGTTATATTTGGGACTAAAGTTTCTCAGTAAAGTACACATGCTGTACTTTTTTGGGGTTGAGCCCCATCCGGGATTCAAACCCACACCCTCAGTGTCAGGCACCTAATCGCCAGCACACAAAGTCAACCGCCTAACCCGCTCAGCCACAGCGCCTTCCATATGAGCTGAGCGGCTGATCGGGTTAGGCAGCAGACTTTTTTAACTTTCAGTGATATTTGCTTTTGACTTTGTACTTCGAAATCCACCTCTGAGAACACCTTGGATTTGTGTATCTTCCTCGGAGAACAGGTTTGGGAGAAATTCAACCCTGAAATTCTGACAGACATGCAAAGTAAAGCTCTCAAAAATCTTTTTGATGGAAAGGATGTGTTCGGGGCCATTAAAACTGGCAGTGGCTTTGGTTTCCTGCTACAACAAGTTACCTCCTTAACTATTTCCTGTTCCCTTTCTGTTATGTAATGCTTGACTGGTCGGTGAAACGTTAATGGAGATCAAGGGCAGGTAATTTGTGACTGCAAGAATGGACTCCAACAGAATGGATCCAGGTTTAGCAAAATACTAACAGTGGAGATGGATCATGATCATAAGACACAATGATGCAAACATTCTTGAAACCAGGGCTTACTCCCCATCCAATTGGAATCGTCTAACTTTGGCAGACACTGGTTCGTTACCAGGACAACGGCCACCTCCTGAATATACAGACCTGTATAATATCAATGTAGTCCGTCCTCAGATTCTTCAGGGCCTTGTCCATAGTGTTTTGGATGTCTTCGGCTGAGTATGGCGGAGTGTTGGGGCCGGCCCTGAATCCATACTTGGTAGCTATCACAGCATCTCGGCGCCTCCCCTCCAGACACGCTCCAAGAGCCTCCTCTGAACCCGCATAGCCCTGAAATGAGTGAGTGAGTGAGTGATCCAGTTGTAAATGCAAGCACACCAAAACACTAGCATTTCATATTGATTCTCTTGTATTTCCAATGCTATGGTATCTGGCAGCACTGATTTTAGACTATTCAGGAATAAAAACTAAGAAATTCACAGTAATGTGCAGTCATAAAAATCAACAGCGATAATCTGGCATCAATTTACTGCGACACACTTTTCTACAGCCCGAAAGCTTACATTACTAGAGCCCAAATACACATCTTACTACAGCTCCATATGGCACTTACCTCTGCCGTGTCAAAGAAGTTAATTCCCTGCTCAAAACACTTGTCCACAATTGCCTTTGATGTCTGAAAAAACAAACATTCAAGATGATTTTTCTTGTTTTAGTACCTTTCAATGTATCATTGCATGCATGCAGACTCTTACAAATGTTAATATTCTAATATTTTCATTAAATCCCAATGATCTGAGTATAATATGATGCCAACCAACAGTCATAAAAACATTAATGCCAAAGTTCAACCAGTCCCTCAATATTTTTCAATGGACAAAAAGCCTAAATATTGTGAACAATAGTATTAACATATGCTTGGTTGACACATGGCAATATATCCTAACTGAATGATGCCCATGTTGTTGATCACTGGATTGTCTGGTCCAGACTCGATTATTTACATCACAAGCTATATTGATGTAAAATCATGTACATGGCAACAGAAACTGTTCAAGAATCAGTTTATGCAGATTTTAGTATTTCCTGGCAGGCTAAATATAGCAAAATATGCACAGTGCCCCAAGCTTATATGTGTCTCCCTCCAATGTCCCAGCACCGTTGTCTTAGATTTAGAAACAAATTAATCCGGGTTGTGATTCACCATCAGAAGGGAACCTTTGAAACAGTTTTGCTGTATTAGGGTTAGTGGTGGTCCGATTAATTGAAATACTAGTAATCAAAGATTGGTCACAATGACGAAACGATCATGTTTTCTCATAATCAAACACAAACAATTTTGGAACACTTGTTTGCATTAACAACATTTTTCACAAGGTTGGTTTTGTCAGTTATATTTCAAAAGCACTACAAACTCGTTCGTAGTCATGACTGAATTTATCTTAAAGACTCCAGGAAATTTATCTTCCTAACATACTAGTCATCCTTTAAAGATGTGAAATTTGTATATGCATGTTGTGCAATTTGCTAAAAAAAACCAAAAGAACTACATGTTTTTTCTACAGTTCTTGTGCATTAACAGATATAACCAGGAGAATTTGATAAATGACGCTAACCAATTAATTTTGATGATTGATCGGTTGTAATGAACCAATCATCAAATGTGAGATTTTAACCAATTCCCAACACTAATTGGGGTAGGAATCATAAAGCACCCATTGTATCGTGATACTTACTGTATCATGGCCTCACTGTATCGTTACACCTCTACCCGTCCAATGCCCTGCACAGTACAGAGACACACTTCTCACGGCCTCACTGTATCGTTACACCTCTATCTGTCCCATGCCCTGCACAGTACAGAGACACACTTCTCACGGCCTCACTGTATCGTTACACCTCTATCTGTCCCATGCCCTGCACAGTACAGAGACACACTTCTCATGGCCTCACTGTATCGTTACACCTCTATCTGTCCCATGCCCTGCACAGTACAGAGACACACTTCTCACGGCCTCACTGTATTGTTACACCTCTACCCATCCCATGCCCTGCAGGCCTCACTGTATTGTTACACCCAGAGCCCCACACACTGCACAGTACAGACGGCCTCACTGTATTGTTACACCTCTACCCGTCCCATGCCCTGCACAGTACAGAGACACACTTCTCAGTGTATCGTTACACCTCTACCCGTCCCATGCCCTGCACAGTACAGAGAGACACTTCTCACTGTATCGTTACACCTCTACCTGTCCCATGCCCTGCACAGTACAGAGACACACTTCTCACTGTATCGTTACACCTCTACCCGTCCCATGCCCTGCACAGTACAGAGACACACTTCTCACTGTATCGTTACACCTCTACCCGTCCCATGCCCTGCACAGTACAGAGACACACTTCTCACTGTATCGTTACACCTCTACCTGTCCCATGCCCTGCACAGTACAGAGACACACTTCTCACTGTATCGTTACACCTCTACCCGTCCCATGCCCTGCACAGTACAGAGACACACTTCTCACTGTATCGTTACACCTCTACCTGTCCCATGCCCTGCACAGTACAGAGACACACTTCTCACTGTATCGTTACACCTCTACCTGTCCCATGCCCTGCACAGTACAGAGACACACTTCTCACTGTATCGTTACACCTCTACCCGTCCCATGCCCTGCACAGTACAGAGACACACTTCTCACTGTATCGTTACACCTCTACCCGTCCCATGCCCTGGACAGTACAGAGACACACTTCTCACGGCCTCACTGTATCGTTACACCTCTACCCGTCCCATGCCCTGCACAGTACAGAGACACACTTCTCACAGCCTCACTGTATCGTTACACCTCTACCTGTCCCATGCCCTGCACAGTACAGAGACACACTTCTCACGGCCTCACTGTATCGTTACACCTCAACCCGTCCCATGCCCTGCACTGTACAGAGACACACTTCTCACGGCCTCACTGTATCGTTACACTTCTACCCATCCCATGCCCTGCACAGTACAGAGACACACTTCTCATGGCCTACACATAGTCAAGTCAATCTAAAGTTTAACCTTCAACTGTCTGCAAATGAATTGCTTTCAGCTGAAACAAAACACAAAGGTATCGCCCAACAACATAATAAAAGTCTAGAAAATTCTAGGGGCTGGAAATATGTATATGTTTACTTCAAACATGGAACTATTTTTTGCAATGAGGCTCACATTGCTGGGCCGCCATAGTGTGAAAGGGATGTAACTCTCAACGGTTGCGATGACCTTCATGTAGGTGAACGTAGAAATCAACGTTGGAATTGTCTACAGTTCATCAATTTTGGGTAAGTATTTATATTTATAAACCTATATATGTACCATTAACATAAATTAAGTTGACAGTGATATTATATACAGCGGCACATTTTGTCAAAGAACCCTATTTCTTACGCCTATACCAACCTAAATGTTTCTGTCAGCACTGAAAGGCGCTTACAATTGTCAGCAATGAGCCTGATCAAAACTATCTGAAAAAGATAATTCTTCGACTGGGAGGATTCCATACAGAAATTAGTTTTCTCGGATGCATTGGCTATGTCATGGGTGGAACAGGTTTGCAAGAGATGCTCGAAACAGTTTATGCTTCAAATGCTGTTGCTCATATGCTTAGCGGGAAAGCAGTTGCACCTGCTGTCAGAGGACACCTTGTCGACAGAGCTCTCAATCATCTTCTTGTCAACAAAGCTGCAGGCTCTGATACAGATGCTGTGCCAGCAGAAGCTGATACTCTAACTGATAGATCATCCTAAACATCCTATTGTTAACATCATTGTATTTTTGTTCTGCTTCAGAAATATATGCAACTCGAATGTATATGGGCCTATGGCCTTTCGTACAATAAAGCATTGATTGATTGATTGATTGATAGATCGTCAACTACCACGAAGATCTTCGTGATGCTTCGGAATTATTTGAAACGATCATGGCTGAAGAAATATCTCCAAATGATATCAAGGATAGCCCATCTTTGAATCACATACAGGAAATCCTTAGCAAGACAAAGCAGTCACTTTCCCATTTACGGACAGCATCACTTTGGCTCCTTTATATGGACATGGTCGACATATTGAAGACGTTCTTGAAAGGAGAACGCACAGGAAATTGGAATCTCCATCTCCAAGCAGTTATGGAAATGTTGCCATTTTTTGCTGCATGTGGGCATAATATGTATACCAAGTTTGCCTATATCTGTTTGCAATCAATGCAGTGACTCCAACAGGATCATCCAGATGTCTATCTGGCTTTCATGTCTGGACACCATGTTATCTGAAGGAGTGACAGGTATTGGGCTGGGTTATCTTCAGACTTAGTCATTGAACAGGTGCTGATGAGAAGTTTGAAGTCCACTGGTGGTATGACAAGAGGGCGCGGTATGGGTGAATCACAGAGATCTCAGTGGTTACTCTCTAGACCAGCATGTGTTGATGTAAATAATGCAATGCAATCTCTCACTCGTGTTGGCTACCACACAAGTGACCAACACAAAGAAATGACCAATTCTAGGAAAGTCAGAGATGATGAGGATTCCTGTACCATCCTCTCCTTTCTTAAAGAATGATCACCCTTCAATGACGATCGATCCTTACGGAACGTTGCAACAGGGGTTACAGCTGACAATTCTGTCAATATCGAACATTCAAAAGAAATCGGAAAGAGGATTGTGCAGTCCATGTGTGGTGAGAAGGTTGTGAATTACAATTTCAAGAAAGCCAACCAGGCAGTCCCAATGAATACAAAGGTAACAGTAAAATCAGATGCAGATGTACACTTTGACCACCAACTACTTTTCCAGCGCCTGATAACTGCAGCAGATACCATGTTTGACAATGTTTCAGACCTCTTTAGCTATGAGTTGTCAAGCTTTCCTTCTTCGCTCTTTGACTCTTCTGGATTAATGCGAGAAGCCAAAAGTCTCCTTTGGCTGAAGCAATATGGAAGATACACTGGAAAGATATTCCAAAGCTGAACATTGATACGGACTCATATCACTGTGTCTTAGATGGAGGCAGTCAACGCATCCCATGGACCACTGGATCAACATTCTCCCCAATCTACACAGAATATGTCAGTAGAAAGTACACAAATGCTACCATTGTTTTTGATGGGTACTTGTCAGGACCTTTGACAAAAGATACTGCACACCTAAGATGGACAAGAGGCATCTGTGGTCCAAAATTAAGTTTCACTGAAGAAATGGTTCTGACGTCAAAGAAAGAACAGTTTCTCTCAAACAATGAGAACAAACAGGCATGTATTGATCTTCTGAGTGCAAAATTTGAGGACAGTGGCTACAGGGTTATCAAAGCTCGTGAAGATGCAGACCTTCTGATTGTAGAAACAGCAGTGCAGTGTGCCGCCACAAAACTAACCATTCTAATAGGGGAAGACACAGATCTCCTGGTTCTTCTGCTTTATCACGCTGATCCAGCAGCTGGTACTCTAATCTTTAAATCAGAACAAACGAAAAAAGCATCAAAGATGTGGAACATTAACAGCCTCAAGGAAAGTATGGGCAGCAACATCTGTCAAATACTGCAAGTCATTCATGCTTTGACAGGATGTGATGCAACATCTAGAATCTTTGGAATAGGCAAAGGTGTCGGAATGCAGAAATCTCTTCCATGCCATTG